TGATTGATAATGATGAACATTGAATAGTTTTGAAATCAAAATTTTTTGAAAGAAAAAAAAACCTATTTTTTTATGAAACTTGGCAACACATATGCATTTTTGCGAGCCAACACACTTGCAACTGTATTGCTTTTTTTGAAGAAGGGCCTCTCAAACTTGACCTATTTTGAAAATTTTGCATTCAAAGTATAACAATTCTTAGTCTTAATTCTTGAAAACATTGGGCAATTGTGTTATTATCATTGACTGCGGTCTTAGAAATATTATTCACGATTTTGATTCCAAAGTTTGAATAAATGAAAGTAATAAAAATTAACCATAATAACTAAAAAATTATAATTTTACGAAAGCTGTAGGTTTTAAGTAAAAGTTCATAATTTCCAAACAAGGTATAATATCTTTTTTTTCTATTTTTTCGAGGCAGTTAAGCTCAATACTATCACCCCGTTTCGGCCTGACGTTGAGTTCTGGGACACCCTGTAATCGATAAATAATCAAAAATTTTATTATTATCTTTTTCGATGACCATTTTCCACCCCCATCTTAGACTCGTCGTTGTTGGTCTGTTTGTCGGTGCGATCGTACAACGTGTAAAACTTTGCGACATCACTAATTTCATTTGTGCGCCCCCGGGCGTCCGCTGTTCCGCAATTAATTTGATTAGGAATAAGACTCGGACAGCTCAGCAAGAGACCTGTGGGATGTACGAACACTTTAGTCTTTGAGATGTGTTTCTGTGTTTGTCTCTTATATAGTGGTAAATTGAATATTGGACAACTTTTGAAGACTGATGCATTTCAAAACTTTTCTACATGTAGCAGGTAGGAACTTAATACTGTCTATCACTTTTTTCTCATACCTAATAAGGTTCTTAAATAGCACTTTTCTTTTATTCCATTCGTCTTTTTGCTTACCAGCGTAAACAGTATTACATTTTCAGAATTTTTATATTCTCGAATTTTATTTTTATATTTTTATAATAGCAATACAAGACCATTCTGCCAACTAGTTTTTCTGAAATATTCAGTAGCCTTATTCAATAAACTATGTATCGTCTACTGTATGTGTCAATCGCCTGCAGCTAGAAGCCAATAACGCGATTACTGACCAACCACGTCAGACAAACATAAAATATATATAGAAATATAGAACCAAGAAGGATAAAATCATCTGAGCATTGGGAATTGAGAAATGTCAATATATTTAGTTATCTTGAATTATTTTCGTGATAAAAAACATTGAATATTGTAGTACCCTAAATTTAGAAATTTGTAGGGGGAAGTCCCGTAACGCCGGACAGCACCTACTGCCGGACACTCTATTTAACACGTATTATTTAAGCGAGTATAAATCTATAAGTGAAAGGGGCGCGGGGGGCACACAGGTGCAGGATCACACGCCAAGCCTCACCTGTGACGCACACGGCCACGGCGGGAGCAACCCTTTGCTGTTTTAGGCGCAAAATCACGGCGTCACCTAAATATCAATTGTAATTCTAGTATATTTATGCATTTACATTTGAGTGATATGCAAAGATAAAAGTAGTACTTAATTGTTATCCGTAAAATGGTAGAATATTATTAGATCTTATAAACAATTTTAGTTGATATCACCAAATGAATAAAAATGTCTGTCCCTCAGCTTCGGACACTAAGTCGTCGCTTAGCGCCGGACAGTAAACATATTGATATTTCTTATGAGATAATTATTTAATTTTGTTCTGTATGAGTACATACCCCCATTTTTTTTTATTGGAGATGGATACATATACGTTCAATGCTGGCAATTTTGAAATGTCCGGTACTAGGTGCCACTTTGTAAAATCATATTTTTGGTTACCAAAGTTTGGTTGATAGTAATAATTATTTTTTAGCAAAGGTTGCATTTTTGTTAATTTAGTTTGATTTATAACTTTGTTATCCAACATAAGTCATAATTTAATAAACATTTCGTAAAATATTTTTTTATTTATTTATAAATAACCTCAGATGTCCGGCAATCGGGGACTTCCCCCTAATATAATTTCTGGAGAGTAAATACTTAAATTTCAGACCTGATGGCCGCCTTTGTTAAATCTAATTGAACAGTGCCTTTCCATTATATGTTTCAAATTTTGGTCATCACGACATTCTATTTCACACCGTTTTTACTACGAAACCTACATAATTTGAAGATCCAACTTACATAAAATACTATTCTTAAAAAATTATCCGTTCTACTCGGCTACCATGAATAGGACGGATGCGGTTTAGAGAATTCTCTAATAGTTACCATTAATTATCCACAAGTAATTTTTTTCGACAAGAGCGCGTCAAATTTTATTTTTCCTACGTTTCTCGGACAATCACTAGCGTATCAAATCGCGCTCACGCAAAAAGCCAACGACGACAAAAACAATACGGTAACGTGGATTTAAAATAAAACAGCTGGCAATTAAAGCAATCATGTGAATGATTATAAGATTTTAAACGGCGTGAAATGTTATGATACGCACACTTCCTATAGTTCAGCAGTAACTGCTTACTGGATTTTTAGAAATATTAAAAATCGATTATGGATGTGCCCATTATGAAATAGCGTACATATTATATAAACCAATAATGGTAAATATACTGGCATGTGAAAACTTAAATTTGTTATAAATGTTTCATTATTTCGAACTATTTCTAACTCTTAATTTATTAAGTTGCCCTCTGTGAACCAATTATACATATTGCCCCATATATGCCACAAAATAGAAAACGTAGCTATCTCTAAGAAGCTTTTATTACATCCCAAGGATTACTAAAAGCATTATAATGTTAAGCTTCCTACCGAAATGTGAGTCAAGTGTCCTCATTGAGCAGTATAAGACAGAAGAAGTATCTCATTAATGTCAGGACCTTTCCTTTCAATTTGTCACCGTATAAACCGCCAGTAAAAATAATTCCCATCGACGTACTTTTATAGCTCCTTTCTCGACAATAATGTTTCCGTACACAGTTCAGCTTCTACATAACTGCTCGGAAGACTGAATTCATGGTGTGAGATAAACACATTTGACATAAAATATAAAATATACTTACGGACATATATATATACTATTTATAACAATAGTACAGAGTATTTAGTTTAAAAACGATTATTGCTATTCAATTCGATTCTAATTAATAGGTAGACGTTCTGATTATTTATGGCAAAGGCAGGTTCAACCGTTTTATATACGGGGCAAAACATACGGGGCAAAATGTGCAATTCAATGACAGTGTGAAGAATTTACTAAATTTCTGCTAAGGCAGGTCCATTGGTTTCGAAAATCCTAAAAAAAAGTCAAAAATAGTGGGGCGCATGGCTTTGTGCCTTAAGGCAAATTTCTGGAACATCCCGTATCAAAAATTATTTTTTTTAAAAAGATTAACATTTTAGAAAAATATTTACTCTGAAAAAATTAGATTTTTGAGAAACTATAAATTTTTGACAAAACATACTTTTTTATGAAAAAAAAAGACTTTGAAGAAAAGTGTATTTTGAAATATATTGGAAATTTTGAACTTTTTTTCAAAGCAATCGTACTGCTTTAACTGCATAGAGACGAAATATCGAAGCGCGTAAGCGCCGCGTCGCCGTCTAAAGGATAAACATTGGTACGAAACCCATAGGAATGTAAACAAAATTTATACTTATTGTCAAAATCTCTATAAAATATCTGATAATTTGATGTGCATATGTCTAATGATCATTTTTCACTGCCAAATTTTACTTTTTTCACTAGAACTGCGAAGCCGCTAGACCTGCTTTCATGAAAATTTGATAAATTCTTCATCTTGTTTATACAAGTAAAATGTTTTTTGAATTATTCAAATGGGACGCTCAGTTCTCTTAAAAACTGAGTTACCGTTTTTGGCACTTTTTGCCCCATATCTTCGGAACGGCTAGACCTGCCTTTGCCAAAAACTAATCAGCACGTCTCCTTATCAATACGAATCGAATGTTTTTTGAATTATGCAAATCGCTTCATCCGTGTTCCCGAAATCGTCGACGAAAATTTGTATCCGAGCACACACACATACACGCACACACACATACACACACACATACATCAATTTTTTCTAAGGTATGCCAAAATACTCAGAAACCTTTGAAACGTAAAGATATATAAAAATTTTCATTTTCGATTTTTTTGCGATTACTATAACTTGGAAGTTAAAAACTGCTATTTAGTGGTCAAACATGATCATTGGACATATGCATAAAAAATTATCAGCTTATTTTTTATCATTACCATTATTTTTTAGAGATTTTGATAATAAGGCTTACATTTCTTTGAGTCCCACACCAAGATTTATTAAGTTTAATGTTTGCTTTAACGTAGTTCAAATATTCCACGACATTTTGAACAGTATGAATCAATCGTGTGAGCTTTGTCTGAATTGGTAAAGAAAAATCCAGCAATTTGCCTTTAGGTACGATGCTGTTCACCACTAGTTTGAAAATATGTATACTACTGCTTGCTAACAAAAAGTTTTTTTTTCAAAGTTATTACAACTATACCGACATTGCATGTCGTCAGTAATTTAAAGCTTGTGTTTAAAACGAGTTTAAATTTCCCAAATGTATCTCTTAACTATCCACTGCATATCATCTTTGCCAATACTAATAGCATTTTCATTGCAAAACGGTATCGGAAGTGATATAGTCCCATTGAGGTAGTCACCAACACACATCCATTGCTTAAATTTGATATGATAGAGAGCTACTCTACTCTGGTTCATTTGTGAGGACAGAGAGAGTTAGGAAAGAGCTTTTACTGTGCGAGGAGCGGTTTTGCTGCGGTTAATAGCCGCTACGGTTCTTCCAATCAGAAACCGATGGATATATCACAGTGCCAGACCGGGTTAATGGCTCCCAATGAATGGCTCACCGTGGGGAACTTATAAGGACATTGATATACCGGATAAAAGACAATAAGGGCCACATTTTGTATTAATTTAATTGAACTATTTTTGCTGAATAAATTACAGCTGAAAGGATCTTTGAACAAGGCCATGGCAACATTAACTTTTTCTCACGTTACTATTACATTTGATGACGCAAGAGGTAAAATATCGAATTCAAATTTGATTTGATGTGTGTGTATGTAAGTGTGAGCGTGTATGTGTGTGTGCGGATACAAATTTTTGTCGATTTTGGGAACACGGATGAAGCGATTTGAATAATTTAAAAAACATTCGATTTGTATTGATAAGGAGACGTGCTGATTAGTTTTTGGCGAAGGCAGGTCTAGTCGTTCCGAAGATATGGGGCAAAAAGTGCCAAAAATGGTAACTCAGTTTTTAAGAGAACGGAGAGTCCGATTTGAATAATTCAAAAACCATTTTACTTGTATCAACACTGATCTGATTTTCATGAAAGCAGGTCTAGGGGTTTTGAAGGTCTAGTAAAAAAAGTAAAACAAATGCTATTTAGCGGTCAAGAATGATCATTAGACATATACACATCAAATTATCAGATATTTTATAGAGATTTTAACAATAAGTATAAATTTTGTTTACATTTCTATGGGTTCCGTAGCAATGTTTATCAGTTAGACGGCAACGCGGCGCTTACGCGCTTCGATATTTTGTCTCTATGCAGTTAAATCAGTACAATTGCTTTGAAAAAAAGTTCAGAATTTCCAAAATATTTCAAAATAAATTTTTCTTCAAAAAGTGTTTTTTTCAAAAAAAATAAATTTTTGTCAAAAATCTATAGTTTCTCAAAAATCTAATTTTTTCAGAAATGTTAATATTTAAAAAAGAAAAAATTGGTACGGGAAATTCCAGCAAGTTGCCTTAAGGCACGATGCCATGCGCCCCACTAGTTACTTATTAGATTTCTTAGATTAAATTCGTACTTATTATTAAAATCTCTATAAAATATCTGATTATTTTATGTGCATATGTCCAATGATCACTTTTGACCACCATTTTAATTTTCCATTGATATAATTGAAATCACAAAATTAGGCAATATAATCATTTTTTGTGACTCGTCTAAAGTTAGTTTGTTTAAGTTTAGAAATAAAAAAATATCAGAAAAGTAAATACTTAAATTTCAGACCTGATGAATTTGAATATGTTGAACCTAATTGATTGATTGTAAAAATATCTTGTATAAGTGAAACTATTGATGATCACTTGAATTGACTAGTCCAACCTTTACCAAGGTTTGAAACCAAAGTAAAATTATTTAAATTTGTTTTTTTAGTGATATGCAATAAATTAAGTGAGAGTGCAATTCAAAATTAGACTTTCGACATTTAGCGGACAAAATTGATTATAGTTCTGACACCGATTTCACATAATATCCTATATATCTTTGCCAACTGATTATTGCATCTTTAATGGTCTGCTGGTAAAACTTTATTAATATTTTGTGATGAAATGATATTCGTAAACATAAAAAATATAGAATTAATAAAATAAATAATGAAATAGTCATTTTGTCGTTTGACATAAAATATAATAACAAAAAATTACATTTTTGTAACGATGACACTATTTTCATGTCCAATATAGTATAAAAATGATTTTGTATAAAATTGCGTTTTATGTAACGTATCTTAGCTTGTTCAAAATGTACTTTGTATTAGATGTTTAAAATTTTACTTAATTATTTTAAAAATTTCTCTGATAATTTTTATTCGTAAAATGCTCCCTGACCTGGACCAGTGTTCTCTGAATAAATCCGGCTTTAATATGCAAGTACCTACATATGTGTCTCAATGTCTCGGAAAAGCTAATGGGGAGCAGAGGTTCCGAGAATGTTCTACTAGCGTAATGGTTTATGTGCAAATTACTGCATTGATACACTACGTGGATCAGAACTAATTTTCGAAACGAAAGGTTGATCATTCGGTGAAATTTTTGTGGATTATGAATTATACTTAGCAATGGAATTAATTTATAATAATTGTATTTATATAAAGAAAAATATTTCTAGTCAAGAAGCGATTGACTCTATTAATCATCTCAAGGCTGACGCGGAGTGATTCGTTGGGAAAACAATTTTCATCTTAGCATCCAATATTTCGTTGGAAATTGACGGCCAAATCACATCTCAAAGGTTATATGAGATAGCTATCAAAATGATGCCACTATAAATGCATACGTGCTATTATTTTTCGTATTGATTTTTCGTTATCTGCTGTTATATCTGTACATATAAAAATGGTTTCCTATTGGATGATACTAGTCCTGCATGGGCGTGGAAATCGTGGAAAAATGTTTTGTTTTCCCGACAGATAATATTGCGATTTCATATCTCGATATACGTGCATGAAATAGATACGACCGATATTACACAAAAGACCGATATCTAGACATATTTCTGTATATTGGATATTAATAACATATTGTATCATTTCGCGTATCACTTTCATTTAGAAAACTGTGATTGGAGTCACGTTTTAACAACGTATTGGTATTACTTGTGAATTACTTCGGAAATGAATCGTTGGGAACTAATTTTCTTTTGTCGATTTTCATTATTATGGAAAGAAATTTGTCACCTTGAAATTGATGTTTTAGTTTTGTGATGCATTTATGAGGTATCGGGATCCATTTCTCTTTTCGATTGTGTAGAGTTCTACGTATATATCATTTGCATATATATTGTATTTATGAGTATAATAGAGACACATTTATGTTGTTAGTTAATAACTTTGACATTGTCAATGGGTCGTAACTTTTAGTCATTAATGGTATATATAAATATAACCGCAAACATAAATAGCTACTAAAAGCATATTGTTTATTAGAAACTAATAGCATCCAATCAGAAGACTGCATGCATTACTGGTTGAATGTATTTTTTTGATAATAATTTAACGACTGTTAGAATTACTTTCACTTCAATTCTATCGTAAAAGTATAATAGAGAATTTCAATAAACGATTAACAAAGGTTATTCTTAAACTAGAAATTCAGACCAAAGGAGGATATTTTTTTGCGATTTTCTTTATGGAGCTTGTAATTTTGTATTCAATTTTGTTTATGGAAAGCGAACGATTTTATGATATCTAACATTGCTTTCTTTTTATTTACAGCTGAAGCCGATGGAAGTAGCGAATCTAGCGATCGGGGTTCAGATGTCCTGACCTGTGGATCATGTCAACGGCCATTTGCTCTGTCAGATATCGTCAGATTTATTCAGCACAAGGTTCTCACTTGCCATAAGGAACCTTACGCTTCCTGCCACACGCAAGGTAAGCATTAATTTCATTCAACCGTAAAACATTAAACTTTAACTGTACATCGGTCATCTGATGTCAAGATAGATGACAAAAATAGCAAGCAGAATAAAATTCAGAATCGATTTTTTTACAGGTTCTACAAATGATCGGGACTCTGACGACTCTGGTCTTCCTCTTACCTCAAGGCGACAATGTTCGTCAAGGGCGAGTGGTAGTAGGGTCCAAACGCCTCCTTTGGCTAGTCCAGCCCTGTTACCACCAGCCGATCTCTTGTCGGATGGCGGAGCTTCGAGTACGCCGAAAAGATTGCTGGATGGTAAGTAGTTGTATAATCTAGATAATCACATAGAATCAATATTGGTCAATATTGGTGATAAAACGTAGTTCCACGTGAACTTACAATGTTGTGTTCATGATTGATAACACTTGATCGATCTAAAGGTTATATTATTATTATTGATATTGTTCTATAATCTTACTTATTTAAATTTATCACTTACCTTTCAGAAACCAATGAATCTCACTGTCCGAAACGAAGAGCATCTTCGAGTCCGATAGATCCTTGCAGTCCTTTGGATCCTGCAGGTTTAGTGAACAATGAGACCGGTGAAACCAAAGTCAAACAAGAACGCAGCGATAGCAGTTCTGGTCAAGATGATGGTCTCAGTCCTCCACATCCCGCCAAACGATGTCGAACCGCTATGGCGGACGCGGAGTCAAACACTATGCATAGTGGTAAGTTGATATAATTTTTAAAAATCTTTGATTTATTATTTGCTAAACTTGACATTTAACATTTTTGGACATAGTGTATATAACCCCTCAATCATCTAATAGTCGATTTTTTGAATCTTTTAATATCAGTACTTCCATGTGGAATATCAGCAAATTTTTGGTAGTACTTAGATTGTCTAATTCGAATGCCAAACCAGTGATTGCTAGTCCGAGTATGAATTGATCTATTGTTAATGAAATATTTCAAAATTTACCTAATTTTAGTAATCGATATTTTTCCCTCTATGGTTATTCTATATATTTGATATCAAGCCTTTCATCAAATCAAGCCGTGCGATCCACGCAACCGGTCACCGTGAAAACATCTGCTTATCGGCTTACACCGTTAAATAGTAAATGGTTTCTTTTTTCTGTCTAAAATAAAAAACACGCTCGTGCAAAGAACAAAACGAACGAAATGGGGCGAAACGGATAAAAAATCAAGCATTCACGAAATGAATTAGTTCAGTTCTCCATGATACACATATTATACATACACTCAAAATTTGATAAAGGTGATACTGCCTCCTGTGAAGTCGTGGGACATTTATTGTCAAATGCAGTAGTAGAGGGTGCATTGATGCTTTTGAATGAAACTACCCTGTAATGCACTATAGGGTTGGACATCGGCAATCGAGGTGGAATAATATAATAATTTTATAGATTAAAAAATTACTCAAGGCTGTTTTTTTAAACATTAAATATCTGTTGGATGTAAGGATATTAGAATTTCGGCAACGTGACTGAAAACCAATGAACTCTTTTGACTGATTTTGTTATAAACTTAACAAGTGGAATATCATTAATTTTATCTCATACTTAATCTTTTTGGACTATAAATATTTTCTCTAGGTAGATTGTAATCGCTGAGGTCTACCCATTCCACTTGCAAAATTATTGAGCGATCCCGAAACAAACAAAACTTTTTACCATCCTTTATCTGCTGAATCCAGAGTACTTTACATCCAGTTAGCCACTGCCACTATGATATTCGGACTACCCTTTAAACTTTTAAACTTTTAATAGGGTCACTCATGCATATTAATTGCGAAAAGCATCGTTCCTGAATGTTGTCATGTGCCCTCATGTTGTGAAGGTATACTCAACCCATCCTGTAGATAAGGTTTGTTATCAATTTGGAAAAAACGATTCTGTAATAATACGATAATAATTAGATAAATTCGATTCGAACCCTAACTACACATAGTAAAATCTAATAAATCTATGTATCTATTTATACTAATACTTATAGCCATTAAAATTTATGCTAAAAAATTAAAATGGATCTTGTAATTTATATTAATTATTA